AAATGAAACTTCTTCAAGGCAAAGACTACAGCCAACGCTTCGAGGTCAATGATGTGATAGTTTTTCTCTGCCTTCGTCAAACCCTTCGACGCAAACATTATCGGGTGGAGAAATCGCTCGTCTCCATCCTGACAGAGTACCGCTCCAAGTCCTTCACCCGATGCGTCTGTATAAATTATGAAAGGCCTACTTCCGTTCTCGGCCGCTGCCACATTTGGTTGGGCGAGGACAGGCGTGCTCGTTAATGCTCTTTTAGGATCTTGGACACGCTGATCAAGTTCAGGGGTCCAATTCCAGACACTTTTTGGGCTGAGCAACTTATACATGTTCTTGGTTAGTTTTGCAAATCCTGTTATAAACTTCCTGTAGTAGGCAGTCATCCCCAAGAAAGTCCTTAGCTAAGCGACGCTTGTAGGTAACGGATACTCCACAATTTTGCGCATCTTAACAGGGTCCGTCTTCACTGCGTCTTCGTCGATGTAATGCCCTAGACGAGACGTTTTCCCGAAAGAATGTGCATTTTTGCGGCTTCAACCGTAAATTTGCCTTACGTAACGCTTCGAGCACCCTCCTCAACTCTATATAGTGGCGCTCCATTGACTCCGTGGCTACCAATATATCGTCGATGTATACAAAAACTTCATCTTCGAGCCCCAACCCTCTTAGGACCATGTCCATCATCCTTTGGAAGACTGCTGGGCTCGTTGATAGACCAAAAGGCAACACCGTGAACTGGAACAACCCCTCACTTGTTGTGAACGCGCTTTTCCTTTTTGCATCATCGGAGAGGCGAATTTGCCAATAGCCAGAGGCGAGGTCCATCGTAGAAGAGAATTTCTTTCCGGCAAGACACTGCAGGACGTTGTCAATCTTCGGCAGAGGGTAGGAATCTTGCCGGACGACCTTGTTCAGCTCTCTATAGTCGATACAGACTCTCAGGGTACCGTCTTTCTTTCTTACCAAAACCACGGGAGACGCCCACTCTGAGGAGCTCCTTTCGACTATACCTCGTGCTAGCAGATCTTTGATGGTTTCTCTGAATTCCTTGCGTGCGGCAATAGGAACAGGCCTTGTTTTTTGTCTTATCGGTTTATGATCCCCTGTATCAATCTTGTGAACCACCAGATCAGTTTGCGTCAATTCTGCGTCAGAGAGAGCAAACACGTCGTTGAATTCCTTCAACATAATCGCTGCTTCGCTAGGTAGCTGATTTTGTTGGCAAGTAATCCTAAATAACCTATCGTTCCGACTTTCCTTAGGGCGACAGATTTCCGATCTATCGAGATCCAGCATATTCCTGTCCGGCTCGATATACCTTGGCTTAACCCAAGCACTGTCTTCCCACTCTCCTATCTCTTCTCCTTTCTTGAACACTAAACCATCGTCTGAATGATTAACGACACGTATGCCGACTTCATTGCACTCTGTTGGACAACAGACAATCCGGTATGGGTGGGTGGCGAGAACATAGGAGCGGCGAATCAACTGCACTAACCCTTGTGCATGTCAACGTTAAGGTGCGGACTGCCCTGGCTGAAATATAAGTCCTGTTTTTGACTTCAGCAGCGACACGTGTAGTTTTTTTAGTGGCCATCTGCTCCCTTGCCACCTCAGGGTTCTTCAGCAGTCTTAAGTTGAATAATTCCAGAGCATTGGTGCCCAAAAACACTACCTCGTCCGGGCTTCTTCCGACAAAGGCTGACACCAATTTCTCTTGACCTTCCAAAGTTATTGCTATCCTGATAGTATCTAGGAATTCCATTATATTCCCGGAAGCGTCTCGCACCTTGGTATTTGGGCCGGGTATGCGCTCAGTATATTTATCCAAATCCATATTCCTATCTATTGCCCTCTTCAATAGTCTCACTGGAATAATGGTTGTTTGCGAACCGGTATCCAAAAGTGCTCTTGCTTCGATACCACATAGCGTTATCCCGGCAAAAGGCTTTTCTCCAAACAGCTCACATGTCTTCGACGTAGGCTTCCATTACGATGTGCATACCCACTTTTCTACCAGCGAAGCGTAGGCTACATCTGGTCTCCGCTGCGCATTTACCCTTGATGGGGTCCTCTGCTGTGGGTCAGATCCACTACGGCAATCTTTAGCCAAATGTCCCATGTTACCGCAGTTATAGCACCTTGGAAAATCTCGCCCTCGGTTTTTCTTGTGACCGTTGATGCTTCTCGACTGTCCTTCGCCTTCTGTCAAGGGTTTCGCTACCCTTTCCGAGCCGTTTGAGCAGCTGTCTAGGCTGTTTCCGCCAACTGCTTCTCTTCTTCGTTCAAGGGCACGGTGCCTGTACCTAATCTCAGTCTTGCCTTTATTCAGTAGTCTGCACTCTTCGGCTGTCTTTAGGCTTCTTTCTAATCTCAGGGCTACCTCTTTCACTTTTTCGTATGCCTCGTCACACATACTGGTCTCCAATGCTTCCGTAAGGCAATAGCTCCCATTCCAACTAGCTAACTGTCTGCATAGTATCTCAGCTTTTTGCAACCAAGTCGCTTCTGCTGGCATATCTGGGTAGGCCTTATTCGCTAGACTTTCTAAAGCGAAACAAAATTCGCTGAGGGACTGGCCTGGTCTCATGGCGAAGAGGCGCAGGTCAGATAAGGCTTTCAACGCTGACTATTCCCGTCTATGCGCCTTCTAGCCTTCATAGCCTCAATCACTTCATCATAGGTACCCTCACGTACCTCTCTTGGCAGTGTTTCGAATATTGTTGGTGCATTTTTTCTGAAGAAACTTTGAAATAGTTGCACTCTACTAGAGTCTTTCCAATGCTCTCTGGGATACTTCATGTCAAAGGAGCTTATGAATCTTGTGAAACTTTCGCCTGGCCTACCCGAAAAAGGTTGCACTTCTGGTAGAGACATTGTGCGGATGTTATCCTCCAATGAAAACTCGGAGGGCTCACCTGTGGCCGACGATCGTGCCATTCCTTGACATGTCCCGCAGTCTTCTCCCGGCATACTCTCGAAGCACGGCTGGTGCGATGGCGTCCAGGTCCTTGAGGCACGCCTCTGTAACAACTGGTCATTTGGCTGAAGTACTTCTATCGTACTATACTGTCTTAGTAACTCGGGCTGACCTTGAGCTGTGCCGTGGCTCGAATCTCCTTCCACGAGGGCCATCGCCTTTCTTTGCTGTCCCAATTCTTCCACCTCCTGGCGCAGCTGCTCAACCTGTAAATCCTTTTGGATTAGTTGCTGTCGAAGCTCATCGGATGTCTTCTTTTCTACACTGAAAGCTGCAGCCAATCCCCTAACTCTCATGATCACTTCTGAACTCTGACAGTGTAGGGTTCCGCACACCTCTCTCATCACATTAGTCACTGATGCACATCTACTCATGTGCTCCTGCAACTGGCTTACACTGGTAATATTGCCTTTCCTTAGAAGCTCGAAAACGCGTTCCACTACCTTAGGACTACTCAGTTCGCCTATCTCAGCGAGTGTTGCCTTCGCGATTTCTTTTACCAATGCAACTTGCTCGCTTACTGACGACATCACGCTCTCCCTTCTAGGATCATCGGTACGCATCGATCTTGCCAGCTCATCATACGTGACACCAATAGCTGTTACATGGCTTAGCAGCTTATTTGACAGTCTTTCAAAATTTTTCAAGAAAATGTCACTTACATTTTCATCGAACATGTCCTCATCCTCGACGGGGGACCGAAAAGCTCTTCCTCATTAAGATGAGCCATAGTACCTCTGGAAAATCAGCAGAGATTAGCTTCTATAATGGCACAGTTATCGATGAAACAATTGCGGTATCAATATATCGAAAATCTCGATCACTGGCACAGCGGAGCTCGATGATTAAACCAAAAAAAATGGACAAACGGAAAGGTAATGAGTCTTTAAAACATAGCATAGGTAACAATCAAAACAACTGAGAAAATCAGAGTCATTCGAAGTCGAAGTCACGTCTCGCACGACCGGAGTTCGGCCCCATCCTTTCTTCGATCTGGGATCACGACTTCACGATCTAGTCGGATTCCACTCCTGAGCCACCTGACACTTGTTTCCAATTTACCAGGCACCAGTCGACTTCACGGCGTATGCCGAAGTTTTCTGACGCAATCGAAAGTCACGACCGTAAGTCGGAGTTCGATCTTGTCGTTATCAATCGACTTGGTTCCGCTTGGTACACTGTCGAAGTCACGGCTTATACCACCGGAGTACCGACCAGCTTCTTCACTCGATCGAGTGTCACGACTGTATGTCGGAGCTCGATCTAACAATCGGCTTTCTTTTTCGAAGGTACAATGTCGAAGTCACGGCTTATACCACCGGAGTTCGAGGGTGTGCGACATTAGTCTCGAATGACATTGCTTCGCGCCGAGGCGCGAAGT